GGTTTTGGTTGCCGGCGGTGACCTTACCTGCGGTGTGACGACCGTGAACTTTTCGGTCATTTGTTGGGTCGCTGACCGGAGAAATTTGTCTGTCAACGTTGTTCCTCTTCCTAAAATTTTACCGGGGATTTGTATTAATAAAGATCAACAGGAGAGCTCTTGTGCTTGTGGGATTATTCCCAATTCTGAGAGTCTTTGTTCGGGTTCGGGTGTGATCTGTAACGGTATATGCCCGATTTCTTCGCTCTTTCAGCTGCAACCGCCGCAGTCCGGTTCATTTACCGCCGCCGCCGCCATTGTTCGCCCGCCTTCGTCCGAAGAAAACGTATAAATCGTGGTGGGTTTCGCGCATTAATCGGCGGAGGTGGAACTTTCTTTTTTTAATCCGGGTCACTGACGAATTTTCGTTTTGCAGCATAATTCTACTGCCTTTTGGAAGGGATCTTATGTCGACGGATTTAAAAAGGTCCACAACCTCTTGCGGTTCCAGCCAGACCCGATCACCCGCCAATTCCGGCCAGTGGAGCGTTTTTTCGAAAATGCGTAGAGCTTCGGTGGCAACTCGGGTTGGCCTTCCGAGCCCTCGGATCTCGCCTTCGGCCTCAAAATCGAGGATTCTTCGTCGTCGACAGAGCTCGCGGTGCGAAGATGATGAAACGGCAACGAAGCGGCCCCTCGTCGCTTCAAGAACGAGCTTGTGAGCAATTCTCATTCTCAGACCTCGCGCGCGCTGCTGACGAAGAACTTCTGCGCCCTTTAGAGTAACAAAGTTTCCTTGGGGCGCGTTCGGCGATCTTTCGCGCCAGGGGTTTACGAAGGTAAACTCGGCGACGGCCGTGAAGTCGCCATTAAAAGAAGCGAAACAAGCCCGAGAACGAAAAAGCTTCAAGAAAAGGAGAGCGCTTTTCAGTCGGAGCTCTCGTTCCTCTCTCGCCTCCATCACAAACACTTGGTGGGTCTGGTCGGATACTGCGATGAGCGAGAAGAACGCCTACTCGTCTACGAGTTCATGAAGAACGGCTCCCTCTACGATCACCTACATTCAAAAACCGATGAAGAGTCGCCAGTGGTCGGCTCCTGGAAACTGCGGATCAAAATTCTGCTCGACGCAGCCAGAGGGATCGAGTATTTGCACAGCTACGCCGTGCTCCGATTATCCACAGGCATAATAAAAATCGTCCAATATTTTGCTCTCGATTCGCAATTGGGTTGCCAGAGTGTCCGATTTCGGACTGTCGTTTGATGGCCCCACCACAAAGCCGGCGAGCATCTATCGATGACGCGGCGGACTGCGGTACATGACCGGGAGTACTAACGGGCTTCATCACCTGACCGTAAAGAGCGATGTTTATGGCCTCGGAGTTGTGATGCTCGAGGTTTTAACGGGGAAGAGGGCGATATTTAAGGACGTCGAAGGGGGAGGGAGTCCGGTGAGCGTCGTTGATTTTGCGGTGCCGAGTATCGTCAAAGGGGAGATCGGGAGGGTTCTGGATGAGAGGGTGGGGCCGCCGCCGGCGGAGGTGGCGGAGGCGGTGGAGGTGGCGTATACGGCGGTGCATTGTGTGAGTTTGGAGGGAAAAGAGAGGCCGACTATGACTGACATTGTTTCGAATCTTGAGAGCGCGCTGGCGATGTGTGGAGATAGTCATGGGAGTATCTCTAGTGCCAGTATCTCCCTTGGTTCCTATGATTGAAATTTTTTTTTGAGGGAAAATTAATTAATTTTTATTTTGGGGGAAGTTTTTCTTTCATACATTTGTTTTAAGGTTTTCTGTTGTGTGTACATAATTCTTCTAACACAAAATCAGTGATTTTTTCTAGTTATGTTATTTTTTATCCCCGAATTCAACAAAGTATGTGGCTCTTTTCACCTTTTTGTGTTGTGGATTTAGCTATTTAGATACGCTTTTTAGCTCTATATTTTTGGAAATATAAATGGACTAAATCGAGATATACAGAGTCCTATTTAAAATTTTCAAGAATAGCGTATGGGAATTGAATAGTTATATTATATATTGTCAGTAAAATGAAAATCCAGTTCCATAGTAATTTTATTTATTTACTGAAAAGATAGGTAAAATGCAATAAGAGCATCTCCAACCCTACTCTAAAAACTCATTTTAACACAAATCTAGCGCCAATTCTTCTTCCAACCCAACGTCAAACTTAGCGTCATTTTAAAGGGGTGCTACAGTATTGTATCATGAATGACGCAACACTGTAGATATAGAAATTTTGATTTTTCCTAAGTTTGCCATTATAGTTTGTTATAACAAATCAAATATTCCAACTATATCTCATTTTATAGTTTGTAAATAGAAGGAATATTCTTTTTTATATAAAATTTGGTGTAATGGTTAGAGATGGAATAGTAATTTGGTGTAAAAACTACTCCAACTTGGTGTAAAAAGTATAACATTTTGGGTTTTTGGATTGGAGATGCTCTATACACATATCAGAAGGCTAAATAAAAAAACAATATTTGTGACTACAGAATTTATAAAGAAACATAAAATAAAATAAAATAATTGCGAAAAGCTGACATCAACATTTAGAAATGTTAGGGGCACACCCCAACCACACCTTCCACCACACCTCCTCTCCCTCTATAGTGCATTGGGCCCCACATCAATTTTTTTTTAAAAAATTGATGTGAGGCCCAATGCACTATAGAGGGAGAGGATGTGTGGTGGAGGGTATGGTTAGGGGTGTGCCCCTAACACCACTCATCAACATTTTTGGAGAGCCCAGTGGACCTTGAGTTTCGTCGATGGAATCCTGTTGTGCGTCAAAAAGGTACCTAAATCTCAGAGGGAATCAGAATCACGCTGGGGAGCCGAAGCGTACGAGTAGACGGCTTTAATTAGTCTTCTAGTTGTAGAGAAGTTTGCATCGGTCAAGCGCTCATGTTCTTTACGAGTAGTGGTCAAATCGGAGTTGTTCAACTTAGACTTTTTAGATAGTCCTGGTCGTAGTAGGCATTTTTATGAGACGAACAAGGTTGGCCACCAAAAGTTTTTTTTTCCTTCTTTTGTCCAAATGATTATCTCACCTCTCCCCCCCCCTTTGAGTTTTCAAATTTGGTGCTCATTCGAACATGTGACTAATTTTTGTTAATGATTTGCATCATGTCTGCCTCCAGGCTCCATACTCGAGAGCATTTATGAAAATTCTAAACATGGGTGTCCACAGTTATACTTCTAGATCGTGTTTGGTCGTTTGTGCAAGATAAGTTTTAGGGGCTGATTGGATGCCTTTAGAAAACTAGAGTATTTGTTATCCACCTCACCACTTTCCATTCGAGTGTTTACATTGTTTGGTTAGGAATCTTTGTGAATCGTAAAATAATATTATTACATTGTTTGAATAGTATACTGTAAATTAGAGTATTTATGGGCTCTTTGGATGCCTTTAGGAAACTAGAGTATTTATGACACAAAATAGAAAGTGGTTATCCACCTCACCACTTTTCATTCGAGTGTTTACATTGTTTGGTTAGGAATCTTTGTGAATCCTAAAATAATAGTATTACATTGTTTGGATAGTATAATGTAAACTAGAGTATTTATGACACAAAATGGAAAGTGGTTATCCACCGCACCACTTTCTACAAGTTTGACTTTTTTATTATTTTTTGGACACATTTATGACATTGTGTAAGCTTTCCAACAAAATCACTCTTAATTTTGGTGATTTTGCTTTCGGTGACACCTCATCAAAAGGTGTAAGCCAACAAAATCACTCTTAATTTTGGTGATTTTGCTTTCGGTGACACCTCATCAAAAGGTGTAAGCTTTTCATGTAAAAGAGAATTTTTTGGTGATTTTGCTTTCGGTGACACCTCATCAAAAGGTGTAAGCTTTTCATGTAAAAGAGAATTTAAATTAACAAACGGCATAAAGTGATGAAAGCTGACATTGGGACCCACTTTTTTACATTTTTTATCCTTTTACATGGTAAAAGCATACAACCAAACAGCACCTAAGCGGACACAACTTTGATCGAAAAATAAGTTCTTTTAGTTTGACAAAAGTTGGTTCAAATTTGGCCATAATTAAACCTCTTTTTTTTAAGTCGATTGTGACCCTTGAACTAGTTTTCTTTTGGACTAATTAAAACCACCCAACCATGGATTAGCCCTACCTTGACAAAAGAAAAACCAATACTAGCTCAGCATTTTTTAGAATTGCTGACACACATACAGGCCAAGGAAAGCTTGAAACTCGTTAAAATGCAAGACCATTTCAAGATGTATCTAGTGAACTGGTTACACTTCAATAATTTTGTGCAAAAGAGTATCCATTCTTAAATCGCTACACAAAGTGTCATCTCCAATAATCCAGGGGTAGATATTTTTTTGATGCATCATTAAGGCAATTGATCTGAAATTCATGAATATTTATGGACTTTGACAAAAAAAAAAACCCCCTCCTAATCACACACTTGAAAATCAAAATCATTCATAACAAAAGTAGTAATGTATATATTCATACATGTACTATGGGCTAGATATTTTTGTATTTCTAAAATGTTGTACTTTTATTTATGTTATATATACGTCATACATCAGCCTTCATAATGCGAGATGCAGGGTTAAGATGTCACTATCTACATAGACTACATATTTTATACTGCAGCATGAAGCACAACATCAATACGGATTAAATAAGAAGGGTGTATATATCTAACAAAAAAAAAAATTCAAAATCTTTGGAGACTTGAGGCCTGAGCAGTGAGCCCTGAGGTATATATCATTCATTCCACCTGTAGATGGCCAACTTGGTCAATTAAGGCTGGAGGACCAATACATGTAAAATGTACCTCACAGGCTCACATGCGATTGATGCATATCTCATTGTTGTTAGTATTTGTTTGTAAAAACAAGTCCCACGGAAGGATAAATGGGTCAAAGCATAGATTTTTAAACCTGCGTGCGGATAGAGCGGTTAATTAGATGCATATATTTCTAACTTTTTACTATATATTTTAAATATATTATTTTATGATTGTTGTTATTGTTATTTTAATTGTTTGAAATTATAAAATATCAACATACAAATGACTGTTAGAAGTAGACTGTTGGAAAATGGTTGCTTTTTTACTGTTGGAAAATGACTGTTTTTTTTCCAATGGGTGTTTTAAAAATTTATGGCTGTTGGAGACACTTTTTCAAACCTATAAACAATCTATGATTTCAGACATCAGAACTCATTTCTATCTCAAAACTTTTCTCTCAAAAATCCACAATCCTACAAACTTCTTTCACAGAGAACTAGTGAAAGTTTTAGATTTGCTTGCTAGAAACTTTTTATTGTATCCTGGAAAGAAAATTTACATTCACGTAAATTAAACTTAAATTACCAAGTAGAACAAATATTTCTTTAAGAAAGTGTTTCACACCTCAGCAATTATGTATCCTTCTTTATTTTTACTAACAATTGTCAACAGAGATACGAGACTAGCTTATTCAAGTTGTTCATCCACATGTGCACTGTACTCAACTATTTGACTGTAACTTCCTAATTCGTTTTATTAATATTTGGAATCGTCTAACTAATTCATTCATTAAGTCACTCCAACACGTGTTAGATAAAAGCACGAGTTTCATGTTTAATGTGTGGAAGTAAAGTTTCTACCGGATAGATATGATATTGTTGCTCAGAGGCTTCTAACTTGGGTTGTATAATAATTTTCAGTTAACATTTTTTACGATAATTTCGTTAAGGCTTACAGAAAACCCCCTTAACTTCGGATGATCCCCTTAGCTTCAGCTGAATATAGAATAACCCCCCCATAACTTTGAAGATATTAGAGAATCTCCCCTTACATATAGAGATCAACAGAAAACCTCCCTTTAACTTTTAAGCTTTTACTATAAAACATCATTTAACTTTGAGGTTTTATCAGAAACCCTCATTAAGCAAGGGGTTTTCTGATAAAGTCTCAAAGTAGTTAAAGAAGTTTTTCTGATAACCCCTAAACTTAGGAGGGGTTTTCTGTTATTTCTAGAGTTATGGGGGTTTATCCGATAATCATCCAAAGTTTTCTTGTTGCCTTTCACCAATAGAAAACAACATTACACATTAGCGAATATTGGCTTATATACGAGACCGTTCTCATATGCTCTTCACGAAAATGATGGGTTTGTAGAAGCAAATGAGCAACACGACAACAACAGATAACGAGTTGGAACCGAAGATACAATTGTAGGAGAATCTTCCCCCAAGAAAATTTGGAGGCCAGAAAAGACTATACTTATGACAATGTTACTTGCATCTCTAATAAATCCGTCAGATTGATTACAGAAATCAAAGGCTTCCCCTGATTGGTTGAATATTGTTACAAGAACAAAAGTAAATCAAACATAAGTTCATGTGTTGAAATTGAAGAGTGGTGCAATAACAACAGTTGGAACAATATTGTTCGCAACCGCTAATTATCTAGTGTGTGGTTCCGATTCATTATAAACCTAACACTCGCTATACTCTCATGAATTACACTCATTCTAATTTGCGTTTAAAGAAAAACCATAATCATTTATTAACTAATCAATAATTATGATAAAACAGCAGCCTGTCCGCTACATTTTTTTTCCGAATTCC